CCAAACTGCGGTTTGAAAAACCGATGAAAACTATCGTTTTGAGAAGCCGAGTTTTGATCGCGTCGAGTTGCGGTGACGCCATCTGTCAAAATCGCGGTTTCAAAGAGGTGCAGTGTAGTGGGAATAAACCGTGGTATCTGAAACTGCGCTATTTTACGGTTTTATATACGTCGTTTAACTCGGTTCGATGATGTCGCGTTCTCCACCTGACTGGACAGTGCGGTTTGTATCAGCAAACCGTAATACCGGAACCGTACTTTTATCTATGTTTTGTCGCCAGGAAGATGTCGTGTCAGGTGTGTCGCCAGGATAGTAATCGGATCGCAGATCTTCTGATTTTGGCTAAAAGTTTCTGATTTTGGAACTTTGTCTCCCTCATTTCTGCTCTTTTTTTCCTGAAAGGCCTATCAATTTTCTGATTTTCTTTCTTTGGATCTGATACCCTGGTTATCTTCCACATCTGTTTCTTACTTAAAACACTTAGATCGATAAGATATAACATCAGCTTCGATCATTGTATAAACAACCCGAGATGGCTTAGTGGAAACATGTTGGACAAGCAAATCAAAGATGAGGAGTTCGAATCTAATACAACGCATATGCAAGATTAGTGGTTTCATGTAGGCTAACCGCATTACATGATCAGCGTTACAACAGAGGTTAAAATAACTTGTTGTTTAAAAAACTTGGCTTCCTTCGGTCGGTGCGTAAAAACCTAATAAACGGCCTGACTCCCGCCATGTATTTAAACTGGTAAAAGCCGCGAGCTTTTATACCGCAATTAAACGCGGTTTTATCCAAAACATTTCTCCGGGGGTGGGAATCGACCTGACGTTCACTTTATCTGTAGCATTAATATACTTCGTTTTTTACACTGTGTATAATACGTTTCAAAAGCATAACTTTCATTCTCAAGAAACATAATCATAAAACGTTTACATATCGGAGAGAAAAAAAACGGGTATCAATAGTAAGAATGAGAGAGACACAAACATATACGTTTCATAGACATTAGTGAATGCTAGTGAAAGTAATGAAGGAAAGAATGTTGTGTATAATGGACTAGTGTAATTGTGTGGAGAGAGTGAGATGTAGATGTATGAGGATAGATACAAGATGGGCTGCAAAGTAAAAACACAAAAGAAGAAAGTACATAGAAATGATATCTGCTAAGATGGGAACTTTTTTTTCAACGCTTTCTATATGATTTTCATGTGGAGGGCGAACTACAATTCTTTTCCTTCATGCTTTAGAGTTTCTGGTTTTCTTCTACTGACTCAACGTTTTTGCATTCCCTTCTTTGCTCTATCTGTTGTCATAATAATTGTTGAAAAAAACTAAAAGATCTCTATTATGATTATTTCAAAAGGAAAATGGGCGTAAATTACGTTATATGGCTCTTAACTGTGCTATCCCAGTTGTCGTCAAGACTATCTTACCATTTACATGTGAACATTACCAACCAGTGTGGATATGATGGTAGGCGTTTTTCACGTTCTTTTAGCTAAAAGCAGTAAAGGTCGCTTTTCATCGTATACCTCTTTATTTTAAGGTATCAGTTATTGCGATGGAGTACAGAGATCCAATCGGCTATACAAATATCTTTTGGTCTCTAGTAGACTTAGTTGGTTTATGGTAGTGAACATTGTAAATTAGGTGTGAAATGCAGCAATTGATTATTGTCGTAGTCAGCCAGATATAATTCATAATTATCCAGCATTAGAATCCCGTCGAGTCCAGCCGACACCGGCCATGTAGTAAGAAGTATCGATCCCGTCGGATCATAGATTTTCACGCCCAAGCCATAGATAGCGAACCAGATTCGTCCAAAGAAGTCAATGCCCATTTGCGCTGGGGTTTTTAGAGGTGTGGCCGTGTTTGATAGCGGAACAAATGTCCAGTTACTGCTGTTCCCTGACAGAATCATTTTATAAATCGGTGTTGAATTATAATAATGCACCAGATACAGGAATGTATCATTGACTTTATACAGGCTATATGGAGAGGTTTTTGGTGTTGGCACGGAATACATGAATGAATAATTCGAACCCGGTGCATAAACACGATAAAATGAAAGAACTTGTGTATATTCAGTTGCTACGATCATTATTGTTGAATTTTGAATGAATTTAACTTCACGTGGATCACCGGTTATTGTTATATTCACCAGAGAACCACGGGTCAGGTTTTTTGAGGAATAAACATAGAGCCTACGAGGTGAATCGCAACCTTCAATGAAAGATCGAGTTGATCTGCTAGTGAATCTCGTACCTAATTATTCGTCGGCACTTAATCTTTTCCTCCTCAAGTTGGACTCGCAGATATTTTCGCCCTGAGTACGATAACTTTTATATCATATTATCATCAATCATCTTTTTCTGAGCACGTTGAATGATATTTCAGACAGGCCATCTCTGTGAAGAATCTCTGAGTTGGTTTTTGATACTGGAATCAAAATCCTAGTCTTGATTGACGATATCAAGTTCAGTCATATTACACAGCTTTTTATATAGATTCATTTACTCGACCATTCCCCAGTGCGAGCGATTTCATATTTTGAAGACAAAGCAGCAGTTCTAGCGCATAGCGTTTAGGCAACTAGGCTATATAACTGGTCCCTGTGTGTACAGCTAAACGGTCATTTCTCAGTGTGTGTACTTTATACACCTACGTTGTGCATTCTGGACGAAATCCGGTGTACCAACGTTCGAAACTTACTAGAATCTTATTAAGATCTTAATAAGACTGCGGTTACATTCCTCTAAGACCTTAAACAAATCTTACTAAGATCGTGAGAGCCGAAAATTCTAAGATTCCATTAGATTTTTCTAAGATCTGAGACAAACGTAACTGAAAGTTTAATAAGATCTTAATAAGATTGTTCTAAGTTCCTAGCAAGATCTTACTAAGATTATATTCTCTATAACTTTTCAGACTGAATAAGAATGTCCTAGGATCTTAATAGTGAGAACAATGACGTTTTTCAAACAGTATTCATTCGAGATACGTTGCGAATTTTTGAACTTTTCATTAGCATTATCCAAAGCAGCACCTGAACAGTGTTGAAGGATGAAGACAAATTTCATATTTCTGGGTGCCCAACTATCGACCTTGACCTACAAGTACACTATCCAAAACACTGTTGAACACTTCCGAGAGAGCAAGTACTAGTACAGTCTGGAAGAAAAATAACCGTAAAATCACATATTTTCGTGTTACTTACATAGATGAATGAAAGCAAAACAAAGGGGTAAACGAACATAAAGTCATTATATCTTCTTAAAGTCTAAAGCAATAAGATCTTCGATTATCTTATCAAAATCTTAAAGAATCAGATCTTAGTAAGACAATTTTAAGAAGTGTCTAAGATTTTCACTAGAGAAGACGGGTCATCTTCTAAATGATACGTAGTTTGAGTAAAATCGTACCCTTTCCGCCCCTAGATATCCTCATAAAGTCGAACAACCTTTGGGAAAGAATGAATTGCGACGAAAATAAATGCGACTCAGACACACTTACCGATGTAGTAGTATCCATTATTATAACCTAATCCTGCACAATATATGGGAAGCACTGTTGAACTAATGACATTCAAAGTATTTCTATCCATTTGTATCAGATTTCCATAATAAGTTAATGTAACTAAATAATTATTATCATCGATGAGCATGAAGCTTGGTCCCGGTACTATAGCTACGGGCATCTGTTTAGATGCTTGAACTTTCGTCGTTAACCATGTCAAATTTGAATAGCAGAGTGTCGTTGTTTGACTTTGGATAGGTTTTAACATGTATAATGTGGAATTTTGATTTGTTTCGACCGTGTAGTATAATGGCAGACTAAGAAAGAGTTGGCATGATGCATTACGAAAAATATTGAAGGCGACAACTGGTCGTTGATTCAATTGCAAAGCATAACAAATACAACTGAAATTGGTTTGATTCTGAATCCACGATGTTCCATTATTAATACGATCAAGACTGGTGAATCGTGCTTGATTAATATGACCAATACTAACAACCGAAAGAGTACAAGAGAAAGTAACGAATAAAATTAATAAATGAAAAAGGACCATCATTGCTAACCGAAAAATGAACTTATCTTGTGACATGGCACTTAAACGAATGACGTTAACTTTTTTCTTCATTTTACTTTTCTTAATGTTTTCTAAATATGATAATGACGTTCCGATAATTAATAATTAGCAGTGGCAATTCTTAGACAACTATAGTTGACATTAACATATCACAAGAAAATATGATAATTTATTATTTAAAACAAAATTAAACACTTTTATAAAAAAAGGGGAACAATGTGTATGGAAAAAGGGCCAGAACACTGTTGACACTGCATGTGCCATTTTTGACAAGTGTTTGTTCGAAAGAAATTATTAATCATGGAGCGTCGAAACTGTCTTATTAAGTACTAGTAGTGAAAAGGTAATTAAAAGCACATCGTTAGGCCACTATGACTATTTCCTTAGTTAATCTTCATAACGGCGGCGTTTTGGATAATGATTTTAATATCCATGTGAGATTAAGAACAGCTGTTTTTAAACTCATTTTTATTTTAATTAATTAGAAAGTGTATGATACGTTCAAAAGCATGACATTCATGCTCAAGAAACATAATATAAAACGTTTACATATCGGAGAGAAAGAAACGAGTATCAATAGTAAGAATGAGAGAGACACAAACATATACGTTTCGTAGATATTAGTGAATGCTAGTAAAAGTAATGAAGAACGGTATATTGTGTATAATGGACTAGTATAGGTGTGTTGAGAGAGTGAAGGGATAAAATGAGATGCAGATGTTTTGGGAT